TTATCTGCAGATAATGTTATCTCACAGGTCCTTCCAGTTTGGTGTGAAACCGTAATGAAGACAACATGAAGAGGAGCTTTGCCTGAGAACCTGGAGAACAGTAGAAAACCTGACTAATGTTCTTGTGCGACTCTGAGCAGAATCTCTCTGGAAACAGTCTGTGGTTCTACTGACAGCAACTCATTAGTTGCAGTATAGTCTGAGGTTTTTCATAACTTTCATGTTAGTCATACACATTTTTAATTACTAGAAATTTCTTCCTGTTAACCAGGAGTTGTTCCTTTCCACYGTGGCCAATGTGCTACTCAGGATGGAATACTGAATCCAAATAAGATCCAGAACAGTCTGCTGGCTTCCTTAGATTGATAACATTATTTCATAGTATTTAATAATTTACTGTACATGATTGGTTTTGTATAATGCCCAAAGGTGTTTTGTGAGTTATATAAATAAAACAAACTGAACTGAATAACAGAAACTAGAATGGAACAGTTCAGGAGCAACTGAGGTCACATTGACACTGGGCTTATTCATGAACCTAAATCTCTTATCATGCTGCTGAATACACATTCAAAGCCCAGTAAAACAACATTAATGCTTCCTGTTTGTTTTTGCTGCAGTCAGAGCAGAGCTCCAACACACTACTATGCGCTGCTTCCTTCAGCTGACAAATGTAATATCAGTGCATCAATCACACTGTCAGAACCATAGTGACTGCAGATCCTCTGACGCAGGCTGAGATTAGAGGATAGTCATGGTTTTACAGTGGGGTGACCACATGTTCCACATTGTGTGGTACTRTACAGAAAGTCAAAAACTGATCAAAAAAATCAAGTCAATTCAAAATGACTGCAATAGCCAACTCACTTACAGATATTKTGCTAACATTTGRCTTGGTTGTAGTTGGGAGTCATGCAAAACACCACATTCAAATGTGTACTCATTACACAAGATGCTTAAAACTTTAGCTTTTACTGTTTGTGTCAATTTTGTCTGTCTGGTAGCAAAATATCTCAGGAAACAATAAACTGATTGAAAAGGACTTTCCAGAAGTAATCGTTGGTTGTAYATTTTCAAGTGATTGTTTTCTGAGTCACTCTAATTCCTGCTGATTGTCGCTTTAAGTAAAATCACTTTTTACGATGCATACTCAGTTTTACATCTCATAGTAGCTCTTCAGATTGCCTGTCATTTTTWTGATTAAAAAACATTATCTTTACTCCATTTAGCCCTGACCAAAAAGAGTAAATTTCACCATCTTTACTTGGTTTAATCCCCCACCCCATATAAATGGAAACATCATCTTTACTCCATTTATGTATGCCTAAGAGGAGTAAATAACGCTATCTTTACTCCATTCAGTCCCTCCCAAGTAGAATAAATAATACCATCTTTACTCCATTCAGTCCCACCCAAGAGGAGTAAATAATACTATCTTTAGTCCATTTAGCCCCACCCAAGAGGAGTAAATAATACTATCTTTACTCCGTTTAGCCCCACCCAAGAGGAGTAAATAATACTATCTTTAGTCCATTTAG